CATAAGAAGAGAGGGGAAAGACTGTAAGAGGCAGAATACTAGGAATTCTGCTGTGAAACAGTCTCTCCTAGAAATGGCTGCATAAACAAGACTGGAAAATGACAGTATCAATGGACATATCAAAGTGGAAGGAGGAAAAGTTCAATGTGTTCCCAATACCAGACAAAGAACTACAGCAACTAATGACTGCTGGGAGAATGAGCCTCTCCTCGAGATGAGCCCTCTTATAGGTTGTCCAATGCAGAGTGGTCAGCCCTGAAACCATATACACACGAACAACAAAAACAGACTCAGCAGGCTGTATTTATTTATTTGTGTATATAAATATGTGCAGCAATAATAAAGAAAAGAGGTGCTATCAACTTGACAGTGGAAGGGACATGGAAGGAGTTGAAGGAGGGTACCTGGCAGGGGCTGGAAGGAGGAAAGAGAAGGAGGAAATGATGTCACTCTATTTCAATTAAAAACATATTTTAATCAGAATGAAGGCCAGTGTAGTAGCACATGCCTTTAATCCCATCACTCAGGAGGCAGAGGCAGGCTGATCTCTGTGAGTTCGAGGCCAGCTTGGTCTACAGAGCGAGTTCCAGGACAGCCAGGGCTACACAAAGAAATCCTGTCTTAAAAAGTCAAAAAACAAGGGGGCTGGAGAGATGGCTCAGAGCTTAAGAGCACCAGCAGGCAGCTCTTCCAGAGGTCCTGAGTTCAATTCCCAGCAACCACATGGTGGCTCACAACCATCTATAATGAGATCTGGTGCCCTCTTCTGGCATGCAGGCATACATGCAGGCAGAACACTGCATATAATTAATAAATAAATAAATCTTTTAAAAAAAAAAGTCAAAAAACAAAATGAAACCCACCACCATAACAACAAAGAGAGCGAGAGAATGAGGAAGGAGTAAAGCCGTCCACAGTAACTGAGAAAAGGTGGAGGTATGTACCCACGTCGAGCCCTGCAATGAAGACTCCACTGGTGCCCTGCTGCAGCAGGCCCAAGGGCATCCGGCCCTGCCTGGGAAGGCCTAAGGCCTCAGGAGTCTCAGAAAGTCTCCAGCTCCACTCTGCTCTAATATCCTGACGCACACTCTGATTCTATCATGTCCACTATCTCCACTGTGCTTCTTTCACACATTGTTTCCTTACTCCCTCACTCTTCCCCAACTTGAGTGGCTAAGCCAGGGGGCAGATTCCATGTCTGGTTTTCATCACTAGCCTAACTTCACTTACGAATTTCTCACTTGACTAACTAATGGAACAGAAATCTTCTAAGTTCCCACAGCAAGAATAAACGCTTACTCATTTTTACTAACTTATCATTCCATTGTAGTTTTGCATAGATTTTTTTTTTCCAGAGCTGAGGACCGAACTCTACCACTCTACCACTGAGCTAAATCCCCAACCCCTTGCATAGATATTTTTAATAAGACACTCTTCATATAAAGTTAAGTCAACATCTAAACTACAACAAGGTATCACAGTGTCACTTAATTTTTCTCAATTCCTGCCTTTCCCACTTGGCTGCTGTACTCAATTTTATGGCCATGCCAAATCATTATATAACTGTATTGTCCTACATTATTACAGGTGAAAACCCTGGCAGAAGACCATCAAAAGACCCCCTCAAAGCCTAGCAATGCTGCTTTGTGGTACTATTTATGCTATCAATACAAATAAGGGAATGCTTTGCAAGTGGGATTATTTCCCCTAAAGGTTCAATATAAAAATACACAGAACACAGAAATCCAAACACCCAAGAGTTAATAAGTCCCATGCTATGTGCTATAGAGTCCTCAGATCTCAGGCACCAGACTGAATACCTGACTCCACCATTTTCTGTTCAGGGTTCTCTGTGGATGATAAGGTCCACATTTGGGATTACCATTGTATTCTCATCAAAATTCAACTTCAACCACTTCAACTCTCAGTAAAGGGGCCAGGCCACTGCCAAAGGACTGTTTATACCAGAATGATTTGTACAGTTTGTTATTTACCTCTTTAAGCTCTCAACTACTATTTCAACAAGCTATTGCCAAGGCTAGTGGCTGTTCTCCACAAACTGACAGTAAGGGCCTATTGCTGAGGACAACACTTAGATATCTCACTGAGCCTAGGGAAAAACCAAAAACTCTCGTTCTGCTAAAAGAACATAAAAATAATAAAATGACTCCAAATGACATTCTGTTATACCTATAGATTAGTCTCTCAATCAGTCACCATCAGAAAAGCTTCCTGCAGTAGATAGAAACCATCAGAGACCCACAACTGGAACATGCACAGGGTAAGGGACTACGGAGCACTCACTCCTAAAGGGGATGTCTTCATCAATCCCTCCCCGCAGGGCTCAGGGACCTATGCAAAGAGATTGCAAAAGCCAGAGATGATGGAGGACTCTACAGAAACTGTTCCCAGACACAACAGGACCGATACACATTATGAACTCACAGACTGTGGAAACATGCACAGGGCCTGTACAAGCCAGATGGGGTCCTCAATGAGAGGGGGGGAATGGACACAGCTCCCACCCCTAACCAAGAAACTATCTGCAATAGGTACCCACTGGCAAAGGAAGAATGACTCTTATCCAATGGAGTCTCACTGGGTGTATTATCCACACTTCAGAGTAGGCCCCATGCCCAGGAGTAACAGCAGATGGCCAACACAAAACAAACTCAACAGTATTTTTGTCGACTTTTTTGTCTCATATTGCTTTGTTTAGGCACTTTTTGTCTTACTAGTCTTTTACTTGTATAGTGTTTTTGTGGGTTATCTTGTGTGTGTATGCACGCATAGGTTGAGTTTCTTGTCTATTTTTTAAAAAGAGAAAGGAAGGGCATCGAGTTGGGTGAGCAGGCAGGTGAGGGGAGGAGTTTGGGAGGGGGAAAGTATAATCAGACTACAGCGGATGAAACACATTTACTAAACAAAAGGCAAAAAAAGACAAAATCTCAGCTACTCTTTCTATGGAAAATAGAAATAATACTTTTTCCTAAAGTATTTTAACAGTGTATTCTTCAATGTTAATGGCAAAGTAGTATTTCAAATAGCTCAGTAAAATTTCATGGTTGATCAGGGAGATCGTAAAAACAATTTTTGCTTATAACTAGTTATGTATACTTCTACAATCTTTTGGTTTTCTTCAAAAAAGAGATTACTTCAAAAACAAAAACAATGCACAAATGTTAGGAAAACAATGCATCGGTAAAACCAAAGACTGTGACCCATATATAGGTCTATGCAGGTACAACAGGAAACAAAATGTGCTTGACTGTCCACTCCAGTGTGCACACCTTAATGGCTCTCCTCTCCAAACATCCACAGTTCAATCACTCTTCACTACCTCTATCTCAAATCTTACCTTTTTTGGAAGCCTATGTCTTATAGGTGTCGTGCGTGTGCATGCGTGCTTGCATATATAGCCTTAATTGATCCAGTGTTCCTTGAACCTGCCAAGAATATTCTCTGGACTTACTTTCTATTCCCTGTCTAGAAGGTTCTTCCCATATTCCTACAGAGCTCAGTCCCCTAAAGTTTCTGTTAAAATGGCACAGAGAGGCTGACATGACATCATATAAAATAACCCCATCCTTATCTATAATCTGTTCCTTTTCAAGTCATTCATCACCAACTAATATTGAACATATATCACCAACTAGTATTGAACATATTATGTTTCCCTTCCTAGAATGTAAACTCGATCAGAGATTTTATTTTGAGCACTCTTGAATCATCTGTACTAGCACTGTACCTGACACATAGTAGATAATCAATAAATGTTTTCAATGACAATTTATTAACTGTTCAAGTTAAATACAAGGCAAGGACAAATTAACCATAGAAGACATTTCATAGTTAACTGCTAATTGAACAGCATAAGCCAATGAATATCCAGAGGAGTATCCATCAATACCGCTACACAGCTCTTCCACAGTGTATATGACCAGACCTGACCACAAGACCCAGCAGGTATCAGTATGTTCAAACAGCTTTCAATAAAATCCTATTTTTAAAATTGTGATTAAATTATAATAACATAAAATTTGTCATTTTAATTTCCAGGTGATTTTTATTTGGCTCATTTGTTTGAAACTATGAGTATGAATTCTATCTGTTCAGCAGGGGGAGATGAGCTCAAAGGAAGTTTTGGAAAAAGGCTTTGCTGTTATATGAGAAACTGAATAGGCTTTAGAGTTGAATTCAGGTCCACCACTCATTAACTGTGAGACTGAGTTAGTGAAATTTACTTTTCACATATATAAAATGAGGGCCATCAGAATACTGTCACCCCTACACTCACTCCAAACTGCTTCAAGATAATGGAAAAGCTAAAATGGTTTCAATCCATGTACATACAGCATCTAGTTTACAATGTCTGACAGACATTAAACTGAGCCACTGAAGTAAGAAAATAAAATTATACTAGCAGAAAACACAGAACGTATACTCATACAAGTGGATATAAAAATGTCTCCTTCCCTCTGATCAGGCAGGAAACAACAAAATCTTAGAAATTCTTCAGCTATGGCAATAGTACAACAGTCTCAAACTTGCTTCAGAATTACCAAGCCAATTCCCTAGAGGACAGGTGCTGGGCACAGGCCCCCTCAAGAAGTGGCTCTGGACAGCCTGCACTCCTACTGGGTTCTCAGGAAATGCTGACAATGATGTGATTGGTGAAGGAATCAATCAGATCCATGCTCTAACTCCTTCAGGGTCATTTAAAAAAAATCTGAAATAGTTTACTTTCTGCAAATTCATAACCAATTAAAACCTTTTTAGAACATTTTACAATCCTATTTTAAAAGTCAACATGTATTAAGATCCAACTGATAGAAAATTTTCATGCTTATAACATCCCAGTGACAAAAATCTGAATACTAACTTGAAAATAACTCTGAGACTGCTTTTTAAAACTTAAAACCCAGACAAAAACCAAGCACAACAGTTTAAAAGGAACACAGAGATAAATTTTGATGAGCAGATGACATAAAAATACGTACATGTGTGGAGGCATTCTGTCACGGTTGTTGGCTTGATCAGATAGCCTTTGCAGATATAGCAGGTGATGTAAGGATTGAAATCTTTCACCAAGTGTTTCCTTTGGGTAGCCATTTGTGGTTGGCTGGCTTTAGCGGTTCAGGCACAGAGGGGCACTAAGTAGATGGAAAGCTGGTCCCAGTAGCTGGTGCACTGTTCTCGGTAGGTGTCCTGAGGCATGAGCTTCAACATCCAGCCTGAGCAAAGATCACTGGTCATCACTCCTCTCGGCAGTCCTGTTTTTTCATATCTGTGTCCAAAACCATACAGAGAAGGCATCAAATTCCTTGGATTATATTCAGTATCATTATCAGTAAGTTTGTAGGGTCTAAATTTGGCGAGCAGAACATAACCTTTATTGTACAATTTACCTGTAAATCTATTGTAATTTAACTGAGAGTAACAAATTCACCCAGTTCTGAAGCCTCAATTATCACCTCCACTCATGGCACCAAAAGCTACTGAATCAGTTAATACATTCCTCAACAGTAGTGTGTTTTTACCATCTACCTATCTACCAGGAGTTTCTGCCAATGCAAGATACAAAGACTCAAAACTGAAGTCATTAACCCACCTGCCTATCAAAATGCTCTTTATTTCAATGTGGCACTCTCCATCTAGTTAATAGTCAAATCAAGTTGATGTCCACTTCCTCTCCTCAAATAGATGCCTTCCAGTCAGGCCATCTTATATTCTGCTACAGGTTAATTCTATCCATTACATTTAGTGCTTCTCAGCAAATGTCAGTGCATCCTCTTTACGAACAGAAAAGTGTGTGGTTTTCAGCCTGTCCCATGAGATGCAAACCGCACTTCTGGTGACTTTAACCTTCCCTTCAACACTTCAGGAAGACTGGCAGGATCACTCCTCTCCAGCACAGACTCTGCTGGCTCCCATCTCCCATCCAACATGCCTTTCCTCTTGACAACTGCGTTCTGCTTGCCCCTCAGACTCCCTCTCCAACGCGGTCCTCGGTGTAATCTCTACTAATGACTACTTCTCCCTGGCTACATTCTTCTTTCATTTTGATTTACAATTATCATTCATTCATTCATTCATTCATTCATTCTTGTTTTCCTAGGTTGAGTTTCATATAGTCCAGGCTGGCCTAGAACTTCTGGTCCTCCCGTCTCATCCTTCAGAGTGCTGGGGTTCCAGGTGTTCGCCAGTTTATACTATGACAAGGATCAAACTCAGGCACTGTGCATGCTAGGCAAGCCCTCCATTTCAATAGAAACCAGTCACACTTAATAGACATATAACTTTTCTCTAAGTCTCAACTGGCTGTTTATTTTGTTGCTTTTAACTGTAAAATAACAGTAGGAGCTCCAGGTACCTACAAAGGATGGAAAAGCGAAAATCTTTTTTTTTTTTTTTTTTTTTTGGTTTTTCGAGACAGGGTTTCTCTGTGTAGCTTTGCACCTTTCCTGGGACTCACTTGGTAGCCCAGGCTGGCCTCGAACTCACAGAGATCCACCTGGCTCTGCCTCCCGAGTGCTGGGATTAAAGGCATGCACCACCACCGCCCGGCTTAGAAAGGTGTTTTATAGAGATAGTACACAGAGAAAAACTGAAGAAACGCCATTAATTTTTCTTGAAACTTTACGAATAGCTAGTTTGTTAGGCTATTTTAAAAGTTTTGCAAGTTCCATACAAGAAAGATGCCCTTAGAAAACAACAACCAATGAAGACGCTGAATTCACTCAGTTCATTCTACACTAAGCTTATATTTCAGACGGGAACTTTTCGCCTATCTTGGCTGTTAGCTCATATCCTAGGCCAGTATAAACTAACTGGAAAGGTCTAGAAGGCATCATTCCACCAGCACACACCCGCTGTGAATGTTCAAGGCATGGGCTCTGAGCGGCTACTATCCCTTTCGGGGAAACGCTGTTAAGGATGTGACAGAAGGTGTAATTTAATTAATTGCAATCTCAGGATTCTGGCCTTAGCCCTTCGTGACCTTCAGCAAAGCATTTATGTCCTAGCCTGGGTCTCCGCTCTTCTCTCTGCTTTTCCTTACTCCCAGGACTTAACTCGTGCGCTCGCGGGCAAACCTGTGGGAAACGCAGTCCCGATCCCAAGCCCAGAGCCCTGTCACCCAGACGCCGAAAGGAAGCGAGTGTTGGTGGTGTCGCGCAGGCGACCGGCGGCAACTTTTCCGTCTCGGAAGGCGCGGGTCCCGGAGGTTCAAGCCCTCCCGCCGCTTCAGCAGGTGCTCGGCCCGGGAGCCGGGGCCACTCGCGCGGCGACCGCGGGACAGGACAAGTTGCCGCGGGCCGGCCGGGCCGCCCCCCGAGCGCAGACCGGGAGCCCCGCACGCCCGCCCCGCCCCCGAGCGGCTCGGGCTCCAGCGCCCGGCGCGGCAGGTGTCTGGGACGCCGCGGCCGCCGGCGCAAAGTTGGCGCGCGGCCGGGCCGCCCCCGCGCGGTACCTACCCAGCGGCCGCCGCCGCTCCTCAGCTCGCCGGCGCGCCCGCCTCCGAGCCCGGGAAAGCGAAAGAGAAACAGCGCCCGCCGCGGCCTGTCTGGTCCCCGCGCCCTGTCCGCCCTCCCCCAGCAGGCGGGAGCGCGCGGGCTCCACGGGGCCACTCGGCTCTGGCGCGATAGGGCGCGGCGGGCCTCGGGGCCAAGCCGGTGCCGCCTCCAAGGGCAGCTCCACCCACCTCCAACCGCCAGAGCCGCCCGCCCGCCGGCCACGCCCTCTCGCCGGCCACGCCCTCCCTCGTGGGCCCCGCCCCTCCTCGCCGGCCACGCCCTCAGCCCTCGCCGCCGGCTGGCTCGTGCTCCTCCTAGGCGCCCGGGCCACCCTGCGTTCCCCGCCCCCCACCCCTGTCGCTCCTGTGTGACACGTAGCTCTGGCCAAATTTTTTTTTTTTTTTGTGGCCAAATTTTTATCTCTGTCCTTCTTATCCTCCTCACCCATCTCCCGGTTGTTTTCCTTATAACAATGACCAGTATGGGTTTTTTGTTTTTTTTTCCGGGCGGGTTCAAAAGCACGGGTCAGTGTTGAGACTTGAGTCACCCCATTGAATTTTCTCCTTGGGGCCATGGAGATGGCTCAGCGGGTAAAAGCCCTTGCGGCCACGCCTGAGCACGTGAGTTCAATCCCCAGTACTCAGTGGAGGGAGATGAGAACGGACAGAACGACTCCTCCAAGTTGTCCTCTGACCTCCACAAGGGCAATGTGGCACAAGCGCACCCTCACACATCCATACAAATAAATATAATTTAAAATATCAAAAAAAAAAAAAACCCAACTGTCTCCTGGTAGACATTGTTTCCCCACACTGGACCCACGAGGTTGTAGTGGAAACGAAGACGTATCTTGAAATGAACCTTATTTAGAAATCACTATTGAACTTGCTTCAATAAGGTGGGTCCAGCAATCATGGTCACTGACAAATACAGGTAAACTGGAAATTTGTGTAGGGAGTGAGGATGGCAGTGGTAAAAATTTATTACTGTTTGCAAGGTTCAAAACAAACAACCCCCCTTCCCCCAGTGCTCTTCCTAGTGGACTTTGAGATTTCCAAGACACCATTCGTTAAAAGAAAGAAAAGACTCCTTGAAAGGCATCCTGTCCTCTTCATTCCATCCTTTTCTATTGCTCTTCCCAAACTCAAAACTCCTACTAATACAACTAACTGTGCTAAGCATAAGCTAGCTCCGGTCCTTCGCATCTTAGAAGACTACACTCCAGGATCCTAGAATCCTAGGCGAATCAAGGTAGCCTTCACTTACTGACTAAACACAAAAGGAGCATTTTCCAAAGGCAAACTGCAAAGGCAAACTTCGATCTCGCACACCAGAAGGAAAAAAAAAGGTTGCAATTCCATCTTCTCTTGCAAAAGCAGAGCAAAGGTGGCTGAAGAATTCAGAGAAAATGCAGAGCATTTGCTTTACCCCCTAGAGACAGGCAGCACCTCCAGCTAATGACAGGGTGTGGAGATGGCTGCAGGAACAAACCACAGGTGTCCAGAGATACAGCTCAAGTTTAAAATGCACCAAGTAGAACAAGAAGCTTTAAAAACTATCCACTTTGTAACTAAACTTAGGTAAATTAGACGAAAGTAAAACAAACACATTTGAATATTGCCGCTGGAAGAATACATGTTCGAATAGAGCTTTAAGTGATTTTCTTTCTTTCTTTCTTTCTTTTTTTTTTTTTTCCCGAGACAGGGTTTCTCTGGTGTTTTGGTGCCTGTCCTGGATCTCGTTTTGTAGACCAGGCTGGCCTCAAACTCACAGAGATTCGCCTGGCTCTGCCTCCCAAGTGCTGGGATTAAAGGCGTGTGCCACCACCACCTGGTGAGTGATTTCTTTATAATCTTCTTAAAGACCCCTTTGCAAAACTATGATTCCAGGATGGGATGACTTCCACAAGACAAAGAAATCACAGGAAGCAAAAGAACCCAAGTCAGGTCAAGTGACTATAGGCTTCACGTCTTCCAAACTGAACATATCCAGATGGGAAAAGCCAACCTATTTCTAGTCTATTTAAAATATGCAGTAGGAGATTCTACTAAAATATTAAATGAAAGATCCTGCTGTATACACTGCAGCATATACAAAATGACCTAAAACTGTTGTAGTTTGTGTCTGAAATGATTTTAAATGTCTTTTTCAGGAGTAATGAACAGTTTGTAAAACTCCAAGGGGAATGCAATTGGTGATCAATAAATAAGCTATCCAATACTTTCAGAAATGATCTTGATCATGGACTCAAGGAGGACACGCACTAACAAAGGACAGAGGGAGGGCTCATACTTATGATGCGAGCAGCCCCTGAGCATGGATGTAGAGGTGGAGATGCTGGGGTGTGATGGGGGCGCTGAGAGATGGGCTGGGGGTCCCATCCTTTGTGAGGAAACCTGTGCCTGTGTCCTTACACACAGACGTAGTCAAACAGTGTCTCAGTCGTTGTTCTGTTGCTAAGAGGAGAAACCACGACCACAGCAACTCGTACAAAGGGGAAAGCATTTAACTAGGGACAAGCTTAAAGCCTCAGAGACTTAGTCCATTATCAATCATCATGGCAGGGGAGCATGGTGGCAGGCAGGTGACAGTGCTGCAGAAGCAGCTAGGAGCTACATCTTGACCGCTGTAGGCCAAGAGAGAGACTGGGCCTGGCAAGTGTTTTTGAAACCTTCAAGCCCGCCCGCAGTGGGCTGGGGTTTGCACCAAGTCCAAAACAAAAATGTCGGTTCAGTTTTATCTACCCCTTTCAGAAATTCTCAAGTACAAGAAG